TACCCGCTAGCCCCAAAAAAGTGCCAAAAGTGGCACTGGAGGAGGGAAGGGTGCAAACAAGTGGAGCTTCCCCTTTTGGGTGGAGCTCTGCTTTGGGCAAGCACCAATTTCTGCCTCTCAGTTATGTTTCCACTGACACCATTGATCTTTTTAGCTATCTGTAAGGGGGTAATTCTTCCCAATGACCACAAGTGTAAGGAGCATTCTTCTGAGTAACCATCACACTAATGTACCAAGAGTAGTAGATATAGTAATTTCTAGTAGGGATTCCCTAAGATCGGAAAGTTACTTCAAGGGTTGCTCTGTGTTAAAAAGGTTGAGAAAGGCTGCTTTATACATTACACAACCATGTCCTATGTAAGGGGATGAATATACAATTAGTGCTCCAGAACAGGGGCGGACTGACCAATTGGAAACTCGGGCACTGCCGAGGGCCCGGGGTCAGTAGGGGGCCCCATGAGATGCCCCTGGTACCTTTTCCATAGGCTTTTTTGAGTTTGGGCAAGGACACAGGGGCCCCATGATCCCCTATTGCCCAGGGGCCCCATGAATAGTCAGTCCACCCCTGGTAACCACAGATCCCAACAACTGCATGCATACAGGGAGCAAAGAGCAGCCCTGGATGTAAAAATTTGCATCCAGAACCATTCATCTGTCCCTGACTGTGTGTGTCCAGATGTGCAGTTACATGTGTACAGCCACTGATTCTGGCAACCTGTCATTGATTTGTACAGGCTGTTGGCCATGACTGTACACAAACACTTTGGGCACAAAAATACACTCCTTTTTGATGGCTTGTGACCAGGACTGTATGTACATGTGGTAGGAAGCCCCCGTTTTCTTGCTCTCCTCTTCCTCTTTTTTTGCCAAGAATACATATTTTAGCACAATGAGCCCCTTTCCTCCCTTCAAACCAAGTATGTGTAAATTTCAGAAGAGGTTTCCAAAAAAAAAAAGAATTATGTTGCTAATTATCTTCTAGTACTACATGGATATGGGATGAAGCATGTGTATTGTATTTTTTATTGCACAAACGGATGCATACTTCAAATGGATTCAACTTACCAGAACCACATAGCGTTGACATTTTTCTTAATAAATGGAAAAATTATTTCTGAAAATCATCATAAAATTAATTAATTGCATACATGCATGCACAGTGATAATTATGTCCAGATATAAACACTCTTTGTAATACAATGAGAGTACATTAGGAACAAGACAAGTCAATTTAGTGGTTTTCCTTTATTATTCACAGAAAAAAAACAATAAACAAATCATTGGTTGTTTCAAGTAAAAAGGCTCACTTCATCCAAAACAGGCTAACTGAATGACCCACTGCTTTCTTATATGGACACCATTGGTGAGATCTCCGAGCCCAAAGAGGTCGGAAGTGACGTAACGCGTAGGGTGGATACTAATCACGCAGTATTTGGGATTGGCACAAATGGCTGTTGAATGATGATTATACTGACTTGTTCAAGACTACATGGGAGCAGATTTTCATATGATATTTTTAAATAAAAGTGAGATTTTGTGGTATATGCAATTTTCGTTCTTATTTTACCTGGTAAGTTTGGATGGAAAATGCCCCGGAGTTAATTCTCAGCAGACATGAGCCCCACACTGGACACTCTATGGACACTTCTTATTTCATGGACACTTGTCACAGGTGTATGTATACATATATATACACACACACACACACACACATTTCTTTTTGCTTAAAGCGGAGTTCCACCTTTTCGGGGGGGGGGAGCGGTTACCTGGTTTTGACAGGTGCCCGCTCCCACTTCTGGCTCAGTTCGCCACGGCAAAGTGAGACGGAAGTTCGGCCCCCTCCTTCCTCTGGCAGTCTTCTAGGAACCTTCACAGGTCCCAGAAGACTGCCGGACCATCAGGAGGTGCATCTTGACTTGCGTATGCACAGTGGGCACCAGGCTGCGAAGCTGCAAGCTGTCACAGCGTGGTGCCCACAGTTAGGATGCCGGCATCATGGAGAAGAGAAGGAGAGGAGGGACAGCACGGGTGAGTACATTGCTGGACCCTGGGACAGGTAAGTGTGTATTTATTAAGTTAGCATCTACAGTTTTTGTAGCTGCTGCCTTTTAATAAATACAAAACGGCTGAAACTCCACTTTAAATAATTTTTTTTTTTTTTACAAAATAGTTATATAATATATATTTTTGTGCTGGAGATACTTTTTTTATTTTCCTTTTTTTAAAATAATGGTTTAAGTACTGGCAGCTTTTTCATTGTAGGATATTTAGATAGAGACAAGCTCAAATAGGGTGCATTACATATTTTAATAAAAAATACTTTTTTATTTTCTTTGCACTGATTGGGTATTCTTCTGTGCTTGCTACACCTTTCCCTGTGTGTAACTAGACATGCAGCTAAACCCTCCTATTCTGCAATAAGCCAGACTGAATATAATCTTGAAGCTTTGTTACCAAAACAGGGTGGGGTGAAACTATTGGAAAAACAGATGAGAAATACATGCAATCAAAGTATGAAACACAAAGAAGTAACTAAGCTGCAGATGGCAATAGGTCCATGCTCACCAGTGATGCTGCCTGTAGGGGATGTAAATTTAGTCCACAACATGTGCCGCAAAGATGATAGCTGGTTTCCTCTCCCTCAGTTCTTAAGATGGAGTCTGAGCTTCCAGGTGTAGACATAAAATATGTGTATCATAGACATACCTACTTATTTTAAATATGAGTACATTGAATCTAATGTACTGCATATACATTCATGTATGTGAAATCGATGTGCCAAACCACTGCACAGAGCAGGTAAGTATAACATGTTTGTTATTTTTTTTTTAAATCTGCCTTTACAATCACTTTACCCTAACCTTAACACCTAAACCAAAAACTTAAAGTGGTTGTAAAGCCTTAATGCACCAGCCCCCCCCCCCTTCTTCCTTTTATTAATTGAGCCCCATCGCGATCAAGAGCTGTGCATGAGAGCAGCGGCAGTCCCAGCTTTGTCCCTCCTCACAGGCACATTGATAGCAGCAGGAGCCATTGGTTGCCGCTGCTGTCAATCAAACTCTGCGTTGAGGGAGCAGAAGGTGGGGCTTTGCCCCGCTGTCTGTATGTATGGAGGCAGCAGGGCTTGGGAGCAAGCCCACATGAGTGCCCCGATATGGAGGCACTGGATGAAGAGGAGGAGCTAAAAGCTCCAGCTGGGGACTGAAGAAATGGAGGATCAGGGCTGCTCTGTGCAAAATCATTGAGCAGGGAAGTATGACATGTTTGTTATTTTAGTTTAAAAAAACAATGAAGCTTTAAAATCACTTTAACCCTTAAAACTGGATACTTATCTTTTCAGCACTGAAAGTATCCCATTCTAAAACCTTACAGTCTCTGCAATCGTATAGCTGTGATATCTGTGCAATCAAAGAAACGTGGTTCATGAGCTGTATGTGCACAATTTAGCTCAGAAAGAGTAAAGGCCATACAATCTCTAGGCAGGCTACACAGTGAAAAGCTACCAAATTTCAACATTTCAGGTATAGAGTCCTACTATGGATGAGGGTTTTGTAGTAAAAGTGTGCTTTTCCTTTAAATTTTGCTGTTACTGTTGCTTTTTTAGTGGACTTCTATACAACTTTTTTGGATTTGTAAACTGTTGTTTGCTGGATTACCAAGGGTTAAATTTAAGATAGTTTAAGCCAGATCTGCATGTGTAACATTCTTTTAACATCAGCGTGCTTGAAAAGAGTTCCAATATTTCCTAGTCTGAGCCAAAATTCTGCTGCCCATAGCAGCGTTGGCTCTACTATGTGTTTGATCTCTATTCTGATAAATTGTCTCAATGTGCTCCATATTTCTGGAATCCAGGTAAGAGAAGAAAGAAGGATAATAGCTCTAGGTGTTAAACTTCTGGACTGCAGATTTGAAGCCCAACTACAGCATGGTCAGCCCCCTTCCCCACAACCACCATCCCATTCTGAGGTTCTGGGGCCTCTATATGGTCTGTTGACAGCATGGGTCCTCCTCCTCTTATCCCTGTGATGGTGGTGGGTGGCACATTCTTTGCAGCACTTTCCTGTGAACCCATGTTGGCTTAATAATGCACCCTCAGGGGTTGTATCTATGATGTCCTGTGCTCTCCGAAAATAGGTTGAATGATGCCAGGTGTCATTCATTGTAGAAGTGGACTGGTGCTGGATGAGCCTTTGGAGATCAACACCAGAGAGCAAGTGAGAACTGTTGTTTCATTTTCAGTATTGGTAGGCAGTTTATTTTTTATTTTTTTCTCTGGAGTTTTACGGGTTTTAAAATTAAAACAGTTCAACACCAGTTTAAGGGAAAGGAGACTTTTAAACACCCTGTTTGCACCCGCCCCCACTGAGCGGAACTAAACTATCACCCCTTCCTTAGATTACGCTCACCTAGTTCTAGTACCCCGGTGTTTGCTTCTATTTCCCACTGGCTGCATGTGTACAACAGTACAGACTTTGACATTGTTTTTGTTGAAGTTTGTGCGTTTTAAAACGGATATTTTATATCTTTTTTAATGCAAAATATAAAACCTACTAAGTAATAGAAAGAGATAGCGCTGCCTTGCTGCTCACCTCTTGGGTAGAGTGGCAGTTGAGAGCTATAAGCATGCAGCTGTTGACCTTTTTCCATCAAAATGGTGGTGGACAGCACTATCAATAGCTCATATTCAAACAGGGTGTGGACAAGGTGATCCACCCAGCTCTACCCATATAGTTACGGCACTACCTTAACCCAGAGAACTGGGGAAGGATTCAGATTCATAGACCAAAACCAAACATGGATAGGTTTTTCTCTGTAATATATTGGGTTTTTTATAAAATCATCTATGAAATAAAATCTACAAGATACGGAAATAATAGTCAATTCATGTTTGGTTTGAGTCTATGAGTGTGAAAGCATGCCCATATGTCGCTAGACTCCCCACCACCCCCACATGCTCTGATTGGGTGCTAGAAGGGAGAGACACAAATGGAGGTGGCCATTGGTGTGTCCACAAGGTTGACTGCAGTCATGTGACAGGCAGACAATTCAGAGAAGAAAGAGCTCAGGTCAGAGTATCAGAGAGCTTCTGGAGGCAGGGAAAATTGACCCCAGCCCCAAAATCATAAAAGAAACATTAGGTAGATCAGTCCACCCCAGGGGCGGACTGACCATTTGGAAACTCGGGCACTGCCCGAGGGCCGGGGGGTCAGTAGGGGGCCCCATGAGATGCCCCTGGTACCTTTTTTATAGGCTTTTTTGAGTTTGGGCATGGACACAGGGGCCCCATGATGCCCTATTGCCCAGGGGCCCCATGAGTTGTCAGTCCACCCCTGGTCCACCCGCATGCTGCCAATGCAGACATGCCCTTTTGACATTGCTGTCCAACACTACTATGGCAGGAAGACGGCAATGGCACATGTTCATGATGCATACTTATGGCTCTTGGCCACCTATAAGCAAGGTAAATGATCCTGATTGTTGCCACTGCAGTGACGTTCACAAGCACATACAAATATAATAATTCATATATAACATAAAAAATAACATAAAACATAGTTACCATATAAAATCAAAAATGTGTTATTTTTTCCTGAACATAGGAAAGAATGCATAAAACCACTATAAATTCCTTTTAAGAAACTGGAATACATCGATAGTCTCATCTTCTGAAAAGACAACCATAGATTTCTCGAATCAGGATAGTCAATCTCCCAATATAAAACTAAAACTAGAAGCAGATGTCACCAGAGAATATATCTTTGAAATTGAAAAAAGATATGTGGAACATTACAGCGCTTGCATCAAGAATTAAATGTGGAGACTGTAGGAAATCTAATATTTAATGATTCCATATCTTTTATATAAATCACATTCATACGGTGGTAGATATAGCACATTTATGTGAAATCCTATATCTAATCTGCGTTTACCTATGTCTCCCTGGATTCTGGTAAGTTACAGCACTGGATGGAGAATTACAGAAACCACTGAGGGACAATGCCAGGGGTAAATGAAAGCACATTTACTTTCAGATTATTGATTTCAGTAGAAAACACATTTCCAAAAGCCTGTAGACAGAACGTACTTCGAACGGCATAGGCTATTAGAGGTTACATTCTGTTATTGGAAGATCAAAGACTGCAGAATATTGCTTACCATGACAAATGTGATCTAAAGAAATGGTTTGTTAAGCCTAATAACCGTCATAAATAAATGTGTAAAAGTTTCAGGGATTTATTAGAATGAAATCATTTTAAAATAAAGGTGTTGAAGGATGAACACTGTAGATATATAGTTAACTTCCTGTCCGGTGGAAGCATTTTGCTTGACCCTCCTTTAGCTAAGGTAAGTGCAAATTAGGTACAACATTCTGCACAGCAAAGTTTCTCAGGATTAGTAGAGAAGGCAACACTAGGATCAATAACAATGTGTAAGTTGAAGGGACCTTTTGCAAACAAATTTCACTTCACTTTTTGGCAAATAATGTTGAAAGTTGCCATCAGCTAGTTTGCTGCACTTTGCATATCGCTCTTTGCCTTTAACTAGACATACCAGAAAGATTTTCTACAAAGAATAAAATATTGACTATTCTTAAATGGGACATGAGAACAGATGGGTTGTGACACCATGTCCCAAAACTACTAAGACCAATACTTTGATTGTATATTCTACACACAATTGACCTAAGGGTGCCAAATAATAACTTCACATATTCGTAAAAAGAAACATACAAAATGTATTTCATATTTAAAAAATTATTAATATAAAAAAATCCTTATCCATTTTTGTATTAATTATATTTTAACTTTCAAATAAAATTTGTACGTTTTTTACTAATGTGTGAAGTTATTTGGTACCTTTAAAGTCCATTATGTGTACAATAAACATCAAAATATCTGCAAAAAAATTAAAAATAAAATCGTAGTTTAAAAACTTATAAATGTAACAAAAATTTAAACAAAAGTGTTCCAAAAATCCTTACAATGTTCCTTTAAAAGGGAGTTTTTTTCATGTTGGGTCTGCCCCAGCAGAGGGTTCCTAAGATGGCTAGAAAGCTACTTCTACATATCTTTACTGACATCAGATGTTTAATTGCTTTGTGTTGGAGGAGGACCCACAATATTCAAGCTGCATTCTCACATTCAAGAAGTCAATTTCATGGAAGCACTTACAGAAGGAATGAATATTATTTTTGCAATTTTCAGATGGATGTGCGGTCCCTAGGTACGCATGGATACTTCCTCACTAGCATAGAATAGGAGACCAGGACTTCAATTCATGGGAAATTAGGCACTGTAGAATCCTCTATCACACCCAAAATCATTAAATACTCCCCTTTCTGTCCTCTCCGGCCCATCCGAACAAATGGTGCCTGGAGGCAGAAAGGGGACTTTTTAATGATTTTCTGGTGCAGACGGAGTAATCTCCTGCACAGTTCCCAATAATTAGAATAAAGTCCTAACCTCTGCTATATCAATGGGGCAGGCAGAGACTTTAATTTAATTGTCAGAAAATGCTGCACTGCAGATTACTATGCAGTACCTGAAAGTCATTAAATAGTCTCCTTTCTTCTCTCCCGGATCCCACTGAACAAATGGGAGGTTTTTTTGCAAATTGCTGCAGGCTCTTTGTGGTGCATACTCTTGACCCCTGCACTATATGCTGTGTGATGGACCGCTTGGCACCCCACTTTGGTGCCTCCACCAAACAGTGCCTCATGATCTCCAAATCCTTCCAGCAGACCAATAGCTGATACCAGCACTTTAACCCAAGCATTGTACACAGACAAGATGTTGAGGTCAATGGCATGGTGTGGGGGGGTGGGGCAGTTACTGGAACTGACCCCCTGTTTGGCTCTCTCTGCAGCAGCTGAAAGCTGACTTCTCCTTTCTCTCCCTCTGGCTTTCAGCTGCTGCAGAGAGAGCCATACAGGGGATCGGTTCCAGTAATTGCCCCCTTGCTGCACCCATCATCCTCCCTGTGCACCATACGTTTCCCCCTGCTGCCCAGGTTCCCCCCCGCGTGTGCCCCCACAGTGCTGCCGGCTTCCCCCTTTTCCCTTTCCTTTCCTTCTCACCAGCAGCTGTGTCACGTACCTGGATAGTGAGCCTGATATGAAGAGGCAGGCTTCCCGTACAACTCCAGCTCAAGGACTGCTGATGGTGAGACAGCAGTCGCAGGGGCACGGTGGGGTATGAGTGCCTGAGATCAGTCCAGCAATAGCAGGTGAGCTAATGAGTTGCAGACAAGGAACAGGGTTCTGAAGTAGCCGTGCGGGATGGATGGATACTCGAACGCAACGTGCTGAGGATGCAGGGTCAGACGAGCCGGGTTCGGTATCGGTCAGGCAGATCAGGCTTACAGCGGCAGGAGGAAGAGTAGTCAGGTAACAGGCCAGGTTAGCAACGGAAGATCAATCAGACAGGAGCGGAGACAGAAGAATAATCCAAGACAAGCCAGAGGTCAGGGCAGGAAGCAATCAAGCGGAGATCAGGAACAGGCTGGTTCGGTATCAGGAGTCAATCACAGGAATCAGGGAACACAAGCAGGGAAAAGACCACACGGCAATGGGACAACTACTGCAGCCAGTTTAAATAGCCCTTTTGGCGCCAGCATTAGTGACAGGCGCGCGCCCGCATGTGTGAGTGTGCATGCTGATGTCCCAGTACCTGCACATCTGTTTGACTGGTAAGGACTCTGCGCATGCGCCCATTTGTACGCTGTGGAACTTCACCTGCACTATGGCCAGGCCTTCCCTGACAAGCTGCCAGCACACAGTAGAATGCTTCTGGATGGAGAATGGAGGAATGGTCTGGTAAATATGTCCCATTTGCCAGCCCTTTTCTTTCCTAAGTGAACACAATCAGTGATACAGTTGTGTTCAAAATAATAGCAGTCAGACATCACTAACCTGATCAATCACTGTTTTTGGTAGAAATGATATTTCTACATGGCAAATAATTTACTAGCAGGTGTAGTAGAGTAATAGAAATCCAACAGACCCAACAGTCATGACATGCATGCTGCTGATTCTGTGTAATTGAATCACTAATTGAAAGGGGCAAAATAATAGCAGTGTGGAGTGGAGTTCTAATAGTGAGCTCATTCATTATTTGAAAAACAGGTGGCAATTATTGCCCTTATTTAAGGAAGGAAGGCAGCAAATGTTGTACATGCTGGTTGCAGTGCATTTTTCTCTGAAATTCTGAGGAAAATGGGTCGTTCCAGACATTGTTCAGAAGAACAGCGTACCTTGATTAAAAAGTTGATTGGAGAGGGGAAAACATATAAAGAAGTGAAGAAAATGATAGGCTGCTCAGCTAAAAAAATGATCGCAAATGCTTTAAAATGGCAACCAAAACCTGAAAGAAGTGGAAGAAAGCGAAAAACTACCATTCGAATGGATAGAATAGCCAAAATGGCAAGGACTCAGCTAACAATCAGCTCCAGGAAGATCAAAGAAGGTGTAAAGTTACCTGTAAGTACTGTTACAATTAGAAGACGCCTATGTGAAGCCAAGCTATCTGCAAGAAGCCCCCGCAAAGTCCCACTGTTGAAAAAAAGACGTGTGCTGAAGAGGTTACAATTTGCCAAAGAACACATTGACTGGCCTAAAGAAAAATGGCGCAACATTTTGTGGGCTGATGAAAGTAAGATTGTTCTTTTTGGGTCTAGTGGCCGGAGACAGTTTGTCAGACGACCCCCAAACACTCAATTCAAGCCACAGTACACTGTGAAGACAGTGAAGCATGGTTGCGCAAGCATCATGATATGGGGATGTTTCTCATACTACCGTGTTGGGCCTATTTATCGCATACCAGGGATCATGGATCAGTTTGAATACATCAGAATACTTGAAGAGGTCATGCTGCCTTATGCTGAAGAGGAAATGCCCTTGAAATGGGTGTTCCAACAAGACAACGACCCCAAACACACCAGTAAACGTGCAACATCTTGGTTCCAGACCAACAAGATTGACGTTATGGAGCGGCCAGCCCAATCCCCGGATCTTAATCCAATAGAAAACTTGTGGGGTGACATCAAAAATACAGTGTCTGAGGCAAAACCAAGAAATAGAGAAGAACTGTGGAATGTAGTCCAATCATCCTGGGCTGGAATACCTGTTCACAGGTGCCAGAAGTTGGTTGACTCCATGCAACACAGATGTACAGCAGTTCTCAGAAACAGTGCTTATACAACCAAATATTAATTAAGAGATTGAAAGGAAAGCAAAATCTT